GTGGCCAGCGGTCAGCCGGGCGCTGTCACCCCAGCACCGTGGCCGCGGCGCCGGGCCTGGGCAGCGCCGAGCTGGGCAACATCCGCTCACCTTGAATGGCCATTCTCCCTAAAAATACCAAAAAAACTGCCAAACCAGAGAACAGGGCATTTACAACCAAATTTTAATTGATCCCCACATTTAAGCTTACTATTGGGTTAACATTATACCTAGCACTTATTTTTAAGGTAGGTAAAACATGTTATCAAGGTATTGTGCGAGAAATCACACCTTTTGCATAAGTAGTCCCCTGGATGCACTTACTGGTGACAAAAACAACACTGGCATGATTAAATAGACTCGTATCATAGGTTACAAACACTGTTCAAAGTCAATATGAATTTTTAAAGTTGGATGGACCCTTTCACAGTTAATCTTTTGGCTTAAGGAATAAAAATTAAAGTAGTCTTATACTGCATTTTACAAATGTTTCAGCAGCTTTTAAAACCTTTTCAGTTATAGTTATATAAAGCTTATTACACTATGATTTATTTTAAATATAGTTTACAAACAGATCAGTTATACATACACTGGCACTTTAGCACAAGGGCAAACTTTAAAAACAAACTATTTCAGACCTTTAAAATTAGGCCACTGTGTAAAAAAGAGCCTATGGTCTTACATTCAGCAAATTCATACTAAAATACTCTGTTATTGTAAGATGAATGCCCAAACTCTACATATGCTACAAGTTTATTACATATATTCACATGGCTCTTTCTTTCCTGGGTACTCAAGACTTTCAGGTCACACAGCTCCCTCCCTGACGCGAGCTTGCAGGGACGATCGGAGTGGCCTGTGCGGTGCTGCAATACAAAAATGTGTTTTGGAAGCTATTCTGTGACCACCAAATACTGTTGTTTCTATAAAAAAGGTTTTGGCGCATCTGTTGCAGTTCACCCGTCTACTGCACACAGAAATGGGGTCTCGAGGGCACCTCTCATTCTAAACAGCGCCTAGTGCCCCTTTCAGTCACTGCTGTTCGGTTCACCACCCTGCGGCTGTTCTGCAAGGAAAGTCACACTTTCTCTGGCGGTGCATCACGCTGCTGGCGTATAGCTGGCTTAAGTGTTTCTAGGACATTAAACTAGTTCTCAGGCCCTGTCTTGACTAGATGCTTATAACCAGACTCACTAGATTTCAACAAGTAAATCCACTGACTTCTGAGTAATAATCTTAAATCAGTATTTTACCCCAAAAAGCAATAGGAAATGTTGATTCCCTTACAGTCCCCAAATCTAAACTTGGTTTCACATAAGTCACTCAGTTGAGAACACGTGATATTAAATACGATGATCAGTAATTTAGTTTTTTAAGAGGCTCTGGCACCACCACTATATCACAGCGCAGGGCAGCGCGAAACAAGGTGAAGTCTGCATTTTCTTCATTAATTAGCTGTTTTACACAGAGATCAGTTACCGAGCACTGAATTTGGTACGAAACAGTGGACAACTGCCCTT